TTCTACCCAAGCGTCTCCACTACTGCATATTAATCTATATCACTCTACACACAACAAACAGGCGGGCTCAGTGGTTGAGCCTCGACCTATGACCCAAGAGGTCACGGTGTGATCCTTGTCTGTGCAACATTGGCAGGTTTACAGGGCTCAATTCTGGTCAAGGGGCATGTCCCTAACTGTCACGGGCAGGGCCGGTGGGGGCGTGCAGGAGGCAGCCGATCAATGATTGATCTCATTGATGTTTATTATATATTTAGAAAGCAAAACAACAAACAAAAGAGCCTGCTGAAGGCCCGCTGTGTGCCAGGCACCGGGCTGAGCTCTAGAGAAAATGTGGTGGGATCTGGCCAGGTAGCTCAGTCCGTTAGAGCGCGGGCTGACATGGTTGCGGGCTCCTTCTGGATCAGGGCTCAGACAGGAATCAACCGATGAATGTGTAAATAAGTGGAGCAACATATGGCTATTCCTCTTCTCCCCTTCTCTCTCTCTCTCATTCTCCCCCTTCCTCTCGCTCACTAAAATAAAAATTTTTTAAAAAGGAAAGAAAAATAAAAGTGAATGTGATTCCGTTGCTCTCCTTGTGGATGGACCTCAGAGTGATTAGGGTGAAACAGGCAAACGCTTATTCAGGAGTGAAAGGATGACGCCAGGACCTCTTGTAACGCCTGCAAACCGAGAGAACCCAGGAAGGCCTCAGAGAGGGCCTGACTGAGCTGGGTGTTTTACCAGCTGTGAAGTCACAAACGCGTGGAAGACTGGCCTCTAGTCCTGACCGGTTTGGCTCAGTGGATAGAGCGTAGGCCTGCGGACTCAAGGGTCCCAGGTTCGATTCCAGTCAGGGGCATGTACCTTCGTTGCAGGCACACACCCAGTGTGCAAGAGGCAGCTGATCGACTTTTCCAACTCTCTATCCCTCTCCCTTCCTCTCTGTAAAAAATCAATAAAATATAATAAAAATAAAGTAACTCTAAGAATAGGAACAGGTGCCGAAGATTGGGACGGATTTTGGTTTGAAGAGTCTTAAGAGTCCAGGCACTCCTTTTCTCCCATATCCCAGTGTTGTAGGTGCAGTTTGAAAATAGAAAGGTGAAATTTAGCTGCATTAACCTTTTTAAAATATTGTCTTGAATGCAAAAACAGGTATTCATTTTGACTGGCCCAAACTGAAGGACCTATGAACTAATTATTGGAGGCAGGGCGTAACTCCTCTGTAGAGTAGCTGGAACTGTACTTGCCTTTTCTTTCTTTTCCATTTTGATTACATCTTGGTAGTTCCAGATCATGTGAAGGGGCCCGTTTGGAACATTACACTGAGTTCAGATAACAGATTGTTTCCATGTCAGTATATTGAGAGTGAAGTCCTGTTTCTTGGCTCCAGAAGTACCTCTCTAATCTCTTGAAAATGTCGTCATTGGCTTATGGACAGGAGTATAACTAGAGCCATTTTTTAAAAATCTGATATTACTGCCGAAACTGGTTTGGCTCAGTGGATAGAGCGTCGGCCTGTGGACTCAAGGGTCCCAGGTTCGATTCCGGTCAAGGGCATGTACCTGAGTTGCGGGCACATCCCCAGTAGGAGATGTGCAGGAGGCAGCTGATCGATATTTCTCTCTCATCGATGTTTCTAACTCTCTATCTCTCTCCCTTCCTCTCTGTAAAAAATCAATAAAATATATTTTTAAAAAAATCTGATATTACTTATTGGAAAAATAACTGCCACCTGTTCAATGAATGGTGGGTCAAGCTGCATTGACTAATGACCGACCAATCAGTAGAAACCACAACACTGGATTGAGATCCTCCCCTGGGAGCTCCCCTACAGTTCCGGCCCTGAAAAGCCTGGGGGACCTAGGACCCAGCCCGCTTTCTCTATGGAACAGTATGCCTTTCCCCACCTCCTTCCCCCAGGCCCGGTTTCCTTGCCTCTTGCTCTGCATCTCTTTCCCCAAGCTCCAAGGGCCCTCTTTTGCCTGTTACCTTGTTTCCTGAGCCCATTTCTTCTACAGCTCACTTCTGCCTCTATGACTTTCTCAGTAACTTTCTCTTATAGTCTGAAAAAAAAAAAATGGTGGGTCAGGAATATTTTTGTATAGGTTGGCATGTTTTTGTACTATTTGCCTAATGAAATCCCCATAAAACTTAGGTTTGAATTACCTTTGTTAAAAATAATAGAATACATTGGTCCGTGGGGCTCAGTGGTTAGAGGGTCTGCCCATGCACCTTAGGGTCTTAGGTTCAATTCCTGGTCAAGGCCATGTACCTGGGTTGCAAATTCAATCCCTGGTCCTGGTCCAAGCACATGGGGGAGGAAACCAATCAATGTGTCTCACATCAGTGTTTCTCTCTCTCTCCCTCCGTTCCTCCCTCCCTCCCTCCCTCCCATCCACTCTCTCTAAAAATCAATGGAAAAAAATATCCTCAGGTGAGGATTAACAATAACACAAAGGTAGTAGAGATTAAATGGTGAATGTTATGTTATATGAATTATATCTCAAATAACAATGTACAAAATAAAAAATTACAAGTACAAAAGCAAAGTGATAGAACTTAATACTAAAAGCACTCCAGTTACCAAATACAAAGGAATTGAATAGACAGTTCTCCAAAACAGATATATGAGGCCAATAAGCACATGGAAAGATGTTCAACATCATTGGCCAGCAGGAAAATGCACATTAAAACCACAATGAGATATCACTGCATGCCCACTAGGATGGCTATCATAAAAAAGAACAGTAACAAATGCTGGCTAGTATATGAAGAAACTGGAGTCCTTATTATTACTGGTGAAAATGTAAAATGGCCCTGGCTGGTGTGGCTCAATTGGTTAAGTGTTGGGGTCACCAGTTTGAGTCCCGGTCAGGGCACATACCCAGGTTTTGAGTTTGATCCCTGGTCAGGGTGCATATGGGAGGCAACCAGTTAATGTTTCTCACCCCCCCTCACTCTTCCTCTCTCTCTAAAATCAATTTTAAAACATTTTTTTAAAAAGAAGAAAATGTAAAATGGGGTACCTTCTTTAGAAAAGAGCTTGGCAGTTCCTCAAAAAGTTATACATAATGCCCAGCCGGTGATGCTCAGTGGTTGAGCGTCAACCCTGAACCAAGAGGTTGCTGGTTCAATTCCCAGTCAAGGCAAATGCCCGGGTTTCGGGCTCAGTCCCCAGAAGGGGGAATGCAGGAGGCAGCCAATCAATGTTTCTCTCTCTATTCCTCACCCTTCCTCTCTCTAAAATCAATACAAACATATTTAAGAAACAACACACACAAAGTTAAGCATAAAGTCAACATTTATTGACCCAGCAATTCCACTCCTAGTTCTCACAAGAGAATTGGAAGCATGTTCACACAAAAACTTACACAGTAATGTTCATAGCAGCATCATTCATAATACCTAAAAAGTGGAAACAACACAAATGCTCATCAACTGATGAGTGGATAAACAAGCTGTGATATATAGTGGAATATTGTTCAGCAATAAAAAAGAATGAAGTACCGATATATGCTACATCATGAATGAACCTTGAAAA